GGCTTCCTCCGTGAGCAGGGCTTGTTAGCTCTGAGATGGAGAATGAGGCGGAGGCAGTGAGAAGCCCGGGAGCTGTCCAGCGTTTGCATTGCTGGAAGGAGAACGCAGGAGCCAAGCACCGGGACGGTGAGGCAGGGCACTCTCTTGCCCTCTGTAGGAATCCATCTCAGTCTCTCACCTGAGAGACCCCTCTCCCCGAGTCCTGCACCCTAGGCTGCCTCTCCTGCCACCATGCAGGTCGAGGTGCTCTAAAACTAACAACTACCAGACAGCTGCCAGGTGATAGGACGGACGGTCTGCTGGTCCCTCAAACCCACTGCCACCCCAAGTACCACCCATACTAAATCCCCAGCCTAAAGCATCAGAGCGGAGCAGGGTCTGGACGGCACAGCACATTTAGCAGAGAGGCTAATGGAATGAGTGTTTTCCTGATTTATGTTATTGCTCTGGTCTGGGCCCTCTCAAGGCCATTCTCCAAGCTATACCCAGAGCTCCAATGCAAGTGACGTCATGACTCTGCTTACAGTTCTGAAGTCTTTACTCCTGGGTGTGACACTCAATGTCCTTCAGGAGTTGGCCCTACCTACCTCTACCTGTCCCCACTACCTACTGCCCTCATTCTCCAGCCATTCTAAGTGCCCCATCTATCTAAGCCCAGATACCAGGTTGTCAAAGACAGCTATGGGGCTGGTGGCAGGGACAAGCATTCCAAACAATAGGAACAGCATGTGCTAAGTCCTGCTGTCCTGCAAGAGTCATCTCAGGAATCCCTTCCTATGGAAGACCCTCTGGCTGACCACCTCTCTCTGTAGCCAGCCACTCTGTGACAGAATGTGATTCTGCTCCATCACTCAGACGAGAAATTACCCTGCAAATACGTCCCCCTGGAAAGTAAGCTAGTGCTTTAGGATGTTTTATCTGTTTGGTATCACTAGCACTTACCTGCATGTGAGCAAGCAAAAATAAACAGAAGATCCAGGTTTTTGCCTGAGGACTTGGTTATAATAGAGACTGGTATGTACAGAAATAATAACAGTTATAATAATAATGTACGATAACAATAGCTAGCCCCTATGTGTCTGGCACCTGCGAAGTTATAGATGTTAACTCATCAAACCCATATGACAATCATCAAAACCACCCTGAGGGAAGCCTCTCCACCAGGTCCATTTTACAGACGAGAGAACTGAGGCGCAGGGGGTTAAGTATCCTCCCCAAAGGCAACAGAGCCAGAAAGCAGCCCCGTAGGGATGCCAACCCAGACAGTCTGGCTCCAGAGTCTGAGCCCTCGTCCATGTCACCATCTGCTTCTCTAAAGGAAAGGGACCCAGAGGTGAAAGAGGCTGTGACAGTCTCTCCTAGAGCCAGGAGGATACCGGCGTTCACTTTGTCCTCCACATCAGCAGAAACTAAAGCTCCTACCAGGGTGATCTCTGGGAACGTGGGCGTCCAAACCCCACCCAAACCCAAACCCAAGGGGGCCAAGCCCCAGCCTTGGCAGCAGAATCTGGCAGGACTGTACCCTCACAGCCAGGAACAGCCCGCCTCGGGGTCCTTTCCTCTGTCCCCTCCACCAGCGCCCCCTCCCCAGCTGCCAAGACCCTTCCTCCCACCCCCTTGCACCTGGCTGCCCCTGGCAGGCAGCCCCAGACCCCTCGTGGAGGAGAAGCTCCCCCCAGCTCTTAGCAGCTGCCAGGCCATGCCGGAGCCGGCAGGCATCTTCCGGGCACCACTCACCGTCCCGCCAGGCCTGGCATGCCAGGAGCTCCACCTTAAGTTGATGGCCCTGCACAGCCCCACGGAGCTGCTATTTTTAATTTAATTGGAGAGTCAGAGGAGAAAGATGGTACCCAGCAAGGGAGTTTTAAAAGCTTTTGGGGTGGGGGAGGGGGGAGAGAAAGCGAAGAAAAGTTCATAATTATACACCAGGCAGCCAGATTTGATGCTTGAACAGAAAGGTTAAATGTTACATTCAGAATAAAATGAGGAAAAGAGTCCTGATGACAGTTGCCCAGAGCTAAATAGGGAAGGAAAAAAAATACCCCTTGCCCATCTCTTCTCCAGCTTCCTCTTCTCCCTCATACTCATTTCTGAGTTTCCCTGCTTCTGCCTTTTAAAGCTCAGGAGCGTGTACAAATAAACCAGTTTGGAGCACAAAGATTACTACTCAGCATGTCAACACTTGATTGCCACCCAAAAGCAGCTTTCACTCACGCCTGAAAAAAATCACACATTTTCATTTCTCAAGCCAACAGGTCTAACAGGGCCCAGAAGACTGGGATGGCAGTCTGGCACTGTGGAGAACCACATGGGCTTTAGTATGGATGGACCTAGGTTCAAATCCCTCCTCTGCCAAGGGACAAATGCCCTAGGTCAGAAACAGAAGTCTGCTGGTTAAGACTTTCCTCTTATAAAGAGATAGACTCAGATGGCACACTCCTTTCATCCTTCCTTTTCCAGCAGGGAATATAGATGTGATGCCTGGAGCTGCTGCAGTCATTTTGTGCTCACGAGGCAACACGCTAAAGGTGGAAAAACTGAAAAACAGAAAGGGTCCTTGATGATATAGACATACTGCTGTTCCTCCGGGCTGCCTGCTTGTCACTGAGACAAAGAAATCCCCGTATGTTTCAGCCACTTTTAGTCTAGTTTTCTAGAAATGCTGAATCTATTCCTAACTGTGACAATCCTTTATTAGCCTGATCTTGAGTGTGAACTTGAGCATGAGCTTCACATCACTCAGCTTTGGTTTTCCTATGTGTAAACGGGGACAAATATCGCAGTGTGTGTGTGAGGGTTGAATGTGACTCCATTTGTAATGCACGATGACTGATGACTGACATTATTATTCATACTCCTGATTAAGAGGAAAGCAATATCATATTATAAAATTTAAAGTCACCTCTCCTATCTCAATAACACTTTCTAGTTTTCAAAGAGACTTCTTGGGGCACCTGGGTGGCTCAGTTTGTTAAGCGTCTGCCTTCAGCTCAGGTCATGATCCCTGGGTCCTGGGATCAAGCCCCGCATCAGGCTCCCTGCTCAGTAGGGAGCCTGCTTCTCTCTCCCCCTCCGCCGCCCCCCCCCCCCCCCCGGCTTGTGCTTTCTCTCACTCTCTCTCCTGTTCTCTATCAAATAAATAAATAAAATCTTTTTTAAAAAGCCAAAAAACAAACAAAAAAGGGACTTCTCTTTCTTCATCTGAGCTCATCCTCAACACCAAATCTCTGAGGAAAGAGATTATTATTCCCTATTTTATGCCCAGCAGACTCAAGAGAGGTTAAGCAACTTGCCCAAGGTAGCTAATGACAGGGCCAGGCTGTAACTCAAATCTGACTCCGAGTCCCTGGGGCCCAGGCCAAGCTGATTTGGAGCTCTTCTACTACAGGTCCCACTTCTCCTCCTGGGGACCACTGATGTCTCAAGTTTAGGGATAACGCTGGGGCTGAGACAGTATGGTTCATGTGGCAAAGACAACATGAGATGGACTCTGGCCTTCAAACTCCCCCTCCTGTCCCTGAAACGTCAGGGTTCCTTGGGCTCCAATCTTCTGCCCACTGCACTTATTACTCCATTAACATTAGGGAACTAAGAGCCCTGTTCAGAAGCAGCCATATAACACAGTGGTTGAGGACCCAGACTGGATTTGAACCTCACTTTTGCCACTTAACATAAAAAAAAAAATTGTTAAATAAATAGTTCTGTGTATTAGTCAGGGTAAGCAAAACAGCTGCTGTAACAAACAACCCTCAAATCTCAGTGGCTGAATGTGGCAGATTTTTCCTCATGTCCCAGTGCAGTGCAATGGGGTTGGGTGGGGCTTGGGGGGGAGGTGGTATGCTCCAGCCAGTCATTCAGCCTCCTTCCATCTGCAGCTTTGCCCTTCCCCCATTAGATCCTCCACACCCTGCAGGCTGATAGGGTTATTTTAAGGGTCAGGCATTCTCTGAACTGGCCAGAACCTATGGCATGGTCAGGTGACCCTACCTATGGTGGGGTGGTGGTGTCCTGGGAAGTGTAACTTCACAGTGTGCCAAGGAAGGAGGGGGTGGTGACCCCTCACCCATGGTCCCCAGCAGTCCCATCTCAGGCTACCCCATCAAAAGTAGGCAGCCCCAACCCCCCAGATCATGTGACCTTTTTGCATTTGATTCATTATTTCATTCTTTGTCACCTCAAATAGTTTTCCTTATTTACTGTCTAGGTCCCCACAGTGGACTACAAACTCCCTGAAAGCAGAAACCTCTAGTATCTTTTACCCATAGTCCCTCCAATATTTACCAAATAAATGTTACACTAGTAGAAGCTCAAACTTTACCAGAATATTGGGACAGCTGGGATTAAGAGAGAGACTGTGGCAGAGGAAGAACGGGGGGCTCCATCCGGCTTCAGTGGGTCCCCAGAGGCTGCCCCAGACCTACCCTGGTCCTCATGCACTCACACTACTTGTACTCCACCCCACCCCACCCCCGCCGTCCACAACAGAAGCCAACACCGGTTCCAAAGAAGTTGTTTATTTGCAGGTATAAAACAAGACCCTGGCCACAGGAGGGAGGGAGGGCCTGCGGGCTCACCTGTAGCAAATCCTCCCTGGCCAAAGAGAATGAGTAAGACTAGAAAAACTTCATCTCTCCCATTCCACCCCTCATCTCCTCGTCAAAAATAACTGGGACCCCAGCAGAAGGTCCCACCTCTCTTGCCCTGGTTAAAACCTACTGAACTGAGAACAGGACAGCCCAAGGAAGATGCCAGCAAAAGGTAAGTAGCTATCTGGAGATGTTAACTGACTGCTCCCCTCCAAATGACAGACCACCCCCTGGAGACACTATCCCCAGAGGGCTTCCCTGTCCTCCTCTGGGCTGGATCCCACTCTTGAAATGAGATAAAACCCTAGAACCTAAAAAACACCCTCATAACCTCGGAATTTCAAAGCCAGCTAACCCCACCCCTGCCCCGACCCTGTCACTGGAAATTGATCCCCCCCGAGCCCCTGGGACAGGTCACAGCCTCTGACTCTCTTCATACTCCTCTTTGGTCATCCACTCGGACTTATAGGAAGACAGATGGGCCACAACGGACGCCCCCAGCCAGACGCTAAAGTTTCTATTGGAACCCACCCACATGGCGGCCTTGGTGGAGGAGAAATGATCTGTAATCAACTCCTTGTACAGGCGCTTGGTGAAACCGGGATAGAGGGTGTTGCCCCCACAGGCCATAACGTGGGAGATGAGCATCGGGTGCAGGGCGGCCTCGCAGGCCAAGATGGCATCCACCACAGCCTGAGAGATGCTGGGCCCCTGCAGGTCGAACACCTGGGGGCTGAAGAACATCTCGGGGGCCAGCCGCTGCATGGGGGTCAGCTCCACTGGGGTGCCATCGGGGAGCTGATAGGTGTTGTTCTCATCTGAGCCGCTCGGCAGGCTCTGGCGGAAGTCCAGCGCCTCTGCCAGATTCTGGGGCACGTAGCACTTGCTCATCTGGGTGGTGGCCACCGTCTCCAGCTGAAACAGGTTGTGGTGGTTGCGATCCTCCTTAAAGAGGCTCTTGAAGAGATAGGCCGACAGATCCTGGCCCGCAAACTCCAGTGTCTTGCCGCTGGGCCGCAAGGGGCGGCCCAGGTAGAAGGGCTGCACGCGTGTCAGGCCGTAGCCGGAATCGACCACCACGCCGGTCAGGAGGCCGGAGGCGTACAGGGACATCTCCAGCTGGTCTGCCAGCAGTATGGACGGCACATCCTGTAACTCAAACATAATCTGCAAGAAGGGAGAAGAGCCACTAGGGTATTTCCCCCACACAAAAGGCCCCGATCCATTTCTGGTTTCTGTTTTCCCCCAGACTGAGCTATGTGCTAAGCTCTCAGAACTGAAGCAGGTGCAGACCTGTGTCCCCTGCGTGTGGGGCGGGGGGGTGCTGCCCCAAGGAGGTGGGGCCCAGGGCCCCTGGAGCTCACGCTGTGGAACAAGGGAGGTGCCAGAGAATTAGGAGTCAGATTTGCCCTGGGGTAGTGGGGGGTGTTTGAGGACCCCCACTGTTCTGAAGACTGTTTTTGGTGGAGGGGTGGGAGGAACTGTCAGCTGCTACATGGAATGGTGCTGAGATGCTTGGCTGTGTGTGAGTCCAGGACCAGCGGGGGCTACGGCCAAGGGGCAGATCAGCCACCTGACCCATTTCTTTAGAAAAGGGAAGAAGAAATTAGACAAGAAACACATATATCATATCCACCACTGCGTCCAAAAAAGGAGGGGGAGGAAGGAAGGAAAGAAGGAAGGAAGGAAGGAGGGAGGGAGGGAGATACAGACTCTCACCTCCTGGTAAGTGAAGTCTTTTTTCCTCCACACATCAAGACAAAACTGGAATTCTGACATTTAGGTTTTGGCAAAGTCCCTAGGCTGATATTCTCCCCCACTCACCACCACACTCCCTCCCCACCCAGATCTTTACAAAGCACCCCAACCACCTCCCTAATTCCCCAGCTCTGACTGCATCCCCAGGTTTCTGACCCTATAGACACAGAAAGGCGGCACTAGTCTGCCGTCTGCCATGGCCTTTGGCCAGGTAGCCTCCTCTTCAGGCCCCAGAAGGACCAGCTTCCCCGCTAAGGCGGGGGGGAGCTCCCCCATGCCCACACTCAGAATACTGTCCCACCACCATCCACTTCCCAAATAGAAGCCAAGGCGCTCTTTTTCAAATAGTAAATTAAATACGAATCCCACTTAAAACTCTCCAGGATCTTCCGATTTATTTAGAGCAGGGCTTGGCAAGCATTTTCTATAAAAGCTAGACAGTTGGGGTTGCCAAATTTAGCAAATAAAAATACAGGCTGCCCAATTAAATTTGACTTTCAGACAAACAACAAATAATGTTTTCATATACGTATGTCCCATGCAATACTTGGGACATGCTTATACTAAAGTACTATTTGTTGCTTATCTGAAATCCAGCTCTAACTAGGCACCACGGATTTTATCTAGCAAACCTACAGTGAGTAAGTTTTTTAGCCTTTACACAGTATGGATACGGTCTCTGCCACAAGTATCACAGCTCTGCTGATACGGTATGAAAGTAGCCAAAGACAGTATGTAAATGGGTGGACATGGCTATGTTCCAATAAAACTTTATTTATAAAAACAGATGGTGGGCCAATTTGGCTCACCGGCTGTAGTTTGCCGAACCTTGATTTAGAGTAAAATCTAAGCACTCCCCACAGCCTCTGGGGCCTGCAAGACCCAACCCCTGCAACTTCAAGGTGGAATATGATCTTGGAACATTTATGGGATCCACAAACAAAGTATCCAGTGTCTCCCCTTCTCCACAGAACATTTCAACTGCTGTGTCTCCATCTGTTAGAGGAAACTCCATGAACCCCATCTTGCCTACAACAAGTGCCAGGCACACACTGGGTACTCAGGAAACATTTATGGGGCAAATTGTTAGAAAGCAGAGTTCCTGATACTCAGTCATGTCTGAACACAAAATGCCAGGTTATTTCCCACTCGCCTTACCTCCAGGGTCTTCCGTCGGTCCGCAGGCTCCTTCAGAGGGGACTCTGTGACCATCACAGGGAAGTCCTCATGCTCCCGTCTATGTCTCTCCAGGACAAACGTCCAGATGTGCTCCATGCCCTCCCAGTTGAGGATACGGCCACGCTGGATGGGGTAGCTAAAGGTATCAGGATGGCAAATGTCGATGCCTAGACTCACGCGCCTTTGGGCATAGCTGGGGCCAGGATTCTCCCTGCATGGGATGTAGTTCACGATGCTTGGGAAGACCATCTGGGGCTCATTCCACCCAGAAAAGCCAGCCTTCAGAAAGCCAGACCCGTGGTCGATGATAATGGTTCTCGCAGCCATGGTGAAGGCAGAGGTGGGAGAGGTCTTCTGGACTCGACTGTGGAGAGAAAGGACGAGGGGTTTTTCCAGGCCACCATGGACTCCTGCCCACTCTCCACCCCAGAATCAAGCTTCAGGCTCCCCTAAAGTGTGTCCATCTCCCCTTCCAAGCCTTTGCACAAGCTGTACCTGCAATGTTCCTCCTGTCTCAAACTCCTAATCACCCTACAAGGCCCTGCCTGCAAAGTCCTGCCAAGCCCTCCTTCCCACCCACCTCTCCCCTTGTACTTCTCACACTTGTCTGTTATACCAGGGGCACACTTCCACTCCACAGGAGCAGAGGTTGGGCCCTGCTACTCTTGGCAGCCTTCACAAGAAGCTTTCACCCAGGAAGCACTTGATGGTGGCTGGCTGCCTGATTCGAGAACTCAGGGTCATGAGCCTCGGGGGCCACCGCCCTCACAATAACAGCATAGGGGCAATAGCAGCATGAGCTGTGGTAACCACGGTGACAATGACAGTGATGACAGTGACAACCTGCAGAGCTACCATTTCTGCGGTGCATGCTCTTGGTCTAGCTCTAGGAGGAACACCTTGCATGGGAGGTTGAACTATGTAAAATTGCCATTTGTGCCGGTCAAAAATGATCAAATGCACTTTCATATGGCTTGAGCAGGTGATCGTTTCTTCTGTACCACAACCTGTAAGGCAGGCACCACTGTGACCCCCATTTTACAGGTGGGGACCCTGAGGCATGGAGGGCTTGAAGTTACTTTCCCAGGGCCACGCAACTGACCAGCTGGGCTGACAATTATACCCAAAGCAGATTCCAAAGGCCACACTCTGAGCATCAGGCTAAGCCCGAGAAGTGGGTTTTGAGTCGGAGCTAGGCGACTAAGTTACTGCATAAGGGAGGCAGTACGCAGGATGTCTGACCACGATCATGGTGTTTCGATGCCTGTAAAGGGGGGGCATAAGAACCACCATGCCAGAAAGGCAGGTGTGGTCACTACCTGATTTCCAGACTTACTACAAAACTACAGTAGCCAAGACAATGTGGCATTGGTGAAAGATTTATCACAGAAACATGGAGAATGGAATGACAAGTCCAGACACACATCCTCACAAAGTTTGACAAGGTGCAAAAACCAGGAAAGGAAGGACCAATGGTCTTTACAGTAAATGGTAAGGAACAACTGGAAATCCACATGCAAAAAAAAAAACTAACCTCAATCCATACCTCACACCTTATTAAAAAAAAAAAACTCAAAATGGATGATAGATCTAAACATAAAACCTAAAACTAGAATACAACTTTTAAAAGAAACAGAGGAGAACATCGCTGTGACCTCAGATACAGTAAAATTTCCTTAGAGAGAACATCATTTGCCTGGTCCATAAAAGAACAAAATGATAGGCTGGACTTTGTCAAAATTTAAGAAATTTATACTTTTTTAAAAAAAAGATTTTATTTATTTATTTGCAAGAGAGAAAGAGAGAGAGAGTGCACAAGCAGTGGGGGGAGGCAGAGGGAGAGGGAGAAGCAGACTCCCCACTGAGCAGGGAGCCCCACTACAGGATTCAATCTCAGGACCCTGGGATCATGACCTGAGCTGAAGGCAGACGCTTAACCGACTGAGCCACCCAGGTGCCCCAGAAACTTGTACTTTGAAAGACACTGTGAAGGGAACAAAAAGACAAGCCACAGACTGGGCGAAAGTATTTGAAATCATATATCTGATAAGCAACTTGCATCCCAAAACTATAATGAACAAACTCACAAAACCCAACATAAGTAAAACAATCCAATAGTTCAAGTGGGCAAAAGATTCAAACACATCACAAAAAAAGATACACGAATGGCAAGCAAACGTATGAAAAGAGGCTGAACTCATGAGTCATTAGAAAAATGAACATTAAAACCACAATGAGATGGCACCACCTGGCTAGGAGAACGCTCAAGGTTAGAGGCTGACCGGACCAGGTGAGGGGCGAGGATGTGGGGGGCCTGGAGCCCATATACGCTGCTGGTGGGAATGCAAAATAAAACACTTTGGAAAACAGTTTGGCAACTTCTTATATAAACGTAAATATACACCCACCATACCTAGGACTCTCACTCCTAGGTATTCTCCCAAGGGAAATGAAAACGTACATTCACCCCAAAATCCTCATGCACATGTTTATAGTCGCTTTATTTATAATCATCAAAACCGAGCAACCACCTAACGATCCTTCAGCTGGAGAATGGATAAGCAAATCTCCATTCAGTGGAGTAATACTCAACGACAAACAGATATGAACAAGTGGCATGTGTAATAACGAACAAATCTCGAGTACACTGGGGGAAGGAACCCAGACTCAAAAGGCAACAACTGTATGATTTGATTCCCATGACAATTCTGGAAAAGGCAAACGTATAAGGACAGAAAAGAGGGGGCGTCTGGGTGGCTCAGTCGGCTAAGCGTCTGCCTTGGGCTCAGGTCATGATCACGGGGTCCTGGGATCAAGCCCCGCATCGGGATCCCTGCCCAGCAGGGGAGTCTGCTTCTCCCTCTCCCTCTGCTGCTCCCCCTGCTTATGCTCACTCTCTCTCTCATATAAATAAATAAAATCTTAAAAAAAAAAGAAAACAAATCTGGGGGTGCCAGTGGCCAGGAGTGGAAGGGGGGTGGCCATGAGGGGTTATGGCAGGATTGGGGGTGATGATGGAAGCGTGCTAGATCTGGGTGGTGAGGGTGAGTCTATGACCGTATACGTTTGTCAACTCTTGCAACTATACACTACAAAGAGTGATTTTTACTCTAAGTAAAAAATGTTAAGGGAAAAAACCCATGGGTGCAGGGACACCTAAAGGTTGATGTAATCACCTTGCAGAATGCGACCTGTCACCCAGATGGCAGCCTTGGTGCCCGGAATGCACATGGGTGTTTCCCGTAAGAGTAACATCCAGGAAGGCAGTGCGGCCCGAAGGTGAAATCTGGGGCTGTCACCCCACTGGCTCTATGCTCTGCCTCCGTTCTGGGCAGCAGCTGAGCCCGCACATCATTGTGGGTGATGACAGCCACTTGGCGGCCCTGGCCAGAGGCTCCCCACCACCACCAACCTTGGGGCAGTGACAAAGCTCTACCACCTTGAAATAGCTCTGACATCAGATGGGGGAGAGCAAAAAGGAAGAGAGATGGGGCCAAGGTGTTGGCCTCCTCCCTGGCCTGCTCACCCTGAATCACCCAGTGATGAAGAACCGGTGCATGGATGACATCCACCAACCTCCCCGCATCACAAGAGCGGGCTCACTGGTGGATGCTTCCCTGGCCCTGGCCTTCCGAATCGGAGGACAGCCTGCTGGGATGACCTCCACTGTGGCTGTGCATCAAGATGCTCACTGGGGGCATGGGGGGAGGGCAGGCTGGTGGCCTGAGCGACCTAGCCTGGGAACAGAAGGCAGAGAGGCAGTGCACCATTCCTCTCTTGGGCCATGATGTAGGAAGAAAGTCTGGGGGATGCCATGGAGCCCAGCTCCAAGGACAGAGATAAAATCCACATATTCAAAAGCATTTTTACTGAGTCAGCAATACTATAAATTCCCACGGAGCACCCACGATGTACCAAGAACAATTCTAGCCTGACTCAATGGAGCAGTTCCTGCCCTCCCAGACCTGACATCCTACTGAGATTGTCAGTAAGCACCAGATCAAATACATCATGCCAGGGGGAGGGGAGTGGGACTTAGTACAATGAAGAAAAATAAAATCTGATAAGAGGGCCAGGGAGAATAAGGAGCCCAGTGTTGTGGTGTTGTTCTAGACGGGGCAGTCAGGAGAGGCCTCTCTATCAGGTGACCTGTGAGCGGAGAACAGGAGTGAGAGAATAAGGCATGCGATTACCTGGAAAAGGGTCCAAGCCAAAGGAACAGTAGATGCAAAAGCCCTGAGGAAGAAACTGGTACGTGTGTTCTAGGAACAGTCAGGAGGACCATATAATGGGATGTGTGTAGTGGGCGAGGGGAAGGGTGCCAAAGTTCTTGGGCGGGCCTCGCAGGCCTTCATATTGTTTAGAGACATGGGAAACCACTAGGGGCGTGGGGGTTGAACAGAGCAATGACATGATCTGACTTGAGTCGTACACACTCCACTTGAGCTGATATGAAGAACGGAGCACAGAGATCAAGGTAGAAGCAGGGGATGGAAAGGACATGACAGATGACAGTGGCCTGCGTTACGGTGACAGCAGGAAAGAAGGTGGGAAGTGGTCAGACTCTGGATGTACTTAGGGAAGACTGTTGTTAGAGTGGAGCACGAAACAAGGAGAAGAATGAAGGAAAACACCAAGATCTGGGGCCTGAAAAGCTGGAAGAATGAAGTACCCACTTACTGAAATGGAGAAGACTATAGAAGGAGCAGGTTTGGGGCAGGGAGGAAATTGGGATTTTTTTTATGTTGGACGTGATAACAGTTTGCGATGCCTATTAGGTACACATGACGATGTCCAGAGGCAGAGTCTGCAGATGTCTGAGCTGGAGATATAATTGGAACTTACTGAGGGTATGAAATTGCAAGTTTTGGGCATGGATGAACTCATGAAGAGACTAGGGGCAGATCAAGACAAGTGCCTGCAGGTAATTTAAGGTCTAGGGGCTGGGCGTTGAGAAGGAACCAGTAAAGATGATGAGAAGGAGTGGCTAAGGGATAGGAGGGTATGTCAGAGGCCAAGCAGAGAAAATATGTCAAGAAGAGAGAAATTAGATGAAGACTGAGAAATATCCATGGAATTTAGCAACACAGAAATCACCAGTAGCCTTGGCAAAAGAGTTTCATCGGAGTGTCACTAATGGAGAAAAGCCTGAGAGGTAGGAGACAGAGATCTACGAAACTGGCTCCCTGCTCTGCAAAAAAATCAGCAGTGCACGTAACAAAAGAAATGTTAAGGGTTCGAAATTGAAGGACGGGGTCACTAACACAATGTACATTTTCCAAGTGCGGATCAGAGAAATAAAATTACATAAAGAACATTATCGTGGC